TTACTACATTTCTAAATCAAATTGGATTGAGTGAGACGTTTTTGCAATAGGTTATTGGTCCACCTAGTAACATAGAATCATCTTGAAACTATCTAATTGGATTTGGTTAAATGTAAAATTTTTTACTCTTTCCAGTTTTTTACATAATTGGCAAGATGAAGAATAATAAATTTTCATTAATTACTAAGATATTAAGTTTGTGATTACTCTAAAAAATGATAAATTTATCTAGGTGTAGTTATATAAATGCGAGTGGTGGTTGGACACATGACTTATGTAACGAGTAGTGTTAGCCGCCTGGTGAAATGACTTGGAGCCCTTACATCTTGAGCTCACTGTGAGATTACAAAAGAATAAAAATGAAAATAAATCGACTAAACGATGAGTGTTACAAATGATTCACACCAACCCTTATTTATAGGGGCTGATACAGTTTCTAGAATATTGAAAGTTATTTACAACTAACATCCGGTTGGTATTTTGCTTCTCAACTATTCAATCTAGCATATGTAAAAATAAAAGGTTGATATTTCTTTCATATCAAACAAAGTAAGTGTAGTGTAAAACAAGATAGATTTTAATGTGTTGCAACATATAAGTAACCACATCTAACTAACCGACAAATCACGAGCCTTTCTACTTCAGGAACGAACTTCGCGACATACGAATATTGGATTTCTGAACTTCCTCATAATACAATTTTCTCTGTTGTTGGCGTGTTTTACGAGTGAAAATACTAAAAAATATTGAGACATGTGAAATGATAACAAAAATAAAAAAACATATACATTCCTAGGCATTTTTGACATAATTAAGATCAAATTTAGCCAAGAATTCCATTATATCCACATAATAATTTCTAAGAGAACGTATTTAAATTCGTACTATCACTTACTTAATATTTTGTAACTGTTTCACATGTGCTACTAACAACCCCGACTCAATCATAAACTTTCAACAATTAATTTTGATTGCCTTAGAATCTTTTGGGGTATATATGTTTATGATATGTTTCAATAGTTGAAGTGACATAGATAAAACTAGAGAATTGATATTTTATTTCAAATCAACCTTCAACTATTTATATCGCATAAATTCTACCAAACTTTCAAACAAATATTCACAAGTTTGATTTTATAAATAACATATATTTTGTTGACACCGTTAGTACTTTCATTGTATTGTATTGTGATAATATCAACATAAAAGAACTAACGATGATATATCCATGCCCATTCTTCCACTTTGGATAATCTTTTCAACCAATCATTTTTTAATAAATAATGTTTTACCAATATTTTGTTCCATCCCTTCAAAAACTTACAAGTCATATATTCATCTTTCAAATTTATGTGTAAAGAATATACACTCAAATGTATTAAAACATTCTAATAATTCTTTCAAACATGTAATTTAAAAAAATGGACAAAAATAAATTAATTTAATACATTGAAAATTATTTATTCTTTTAAAAAATACAACTAAAATATATTACATCATTTTGATATATATGTCAAATACATACTTTATTATGAGTCTGAGACTATGTCAAAGTTAATGAATTTTTCATGATCATATTCTATAAAATTTTTAGAAGGCTTTTTTCCATACATGATATTAGTGAAAGTGTTAAATAACCATTCAAAAGAGGGAATAGTTTCATCGTATAATAGTGTCGCCTCAAAAAAACTATTTGTTTACGATGATTAACATAAAAAAATAAGGCAAAATGATATTTTTTCCTATTCTTTATACATGTAGCATTGAAACTAAATACAACTCCAAGATCACCATAATTTTCTTTCATCCTTCCATCAATCCAAAATATATTTGTAATTATGACATCCTCGTCCACTTGAATGGGATAAAAAGAATTTGAGTTAAAAAATAATTTAGAATACTAAATATAACCAAACTAACACATCAATTTTTATTTGTTATAACATCTCATCAACATATTTATATCATATCAAACAACTAATTCAATTGAAGTTTTATTATCCAAAAATTTAAATTCAAACCCAAAACCAACACAATTTGGGATAGAAAATACATATATATTTTTTTATATTATATTAAAAATTAATTTTTATTCAAAATACTATTACGTTAATACATATTTAAATTACGTACTATTAGAATTATACTCTTTCCATCCCATCTTTTATATCCGATTTCCTATAGATACAAAAATTTAAGTAAAAAATATTGGATAAGTAACTAAAAAGAATATTAATAAAAATAATTATTATATAATATAAATAATTATAAATTAAGATTAATATAACAAATTAATTTAATTAAAATAAAAAATTATTAAATAAAAAATTTAAAATATGATTATATTATATAATCATTTTTTCAAGAAAAAAAATGACAAATAAAATGACAATTGAAAATAAAAATAATATACAAATAAAATGAAACTGAGAAATATATATATTTTCGTTCAAAACTCAAACTCCACAAACAATACAACCAAATAGAAGAGATCTAATTTCACTAATGCATTTAGCATTATTTCTTATTATTCATAAAAATTATGCCCCGTTTAGATTGAATTTTGTCAGAATTTTTTTGTTCCTAATTCTAAAAAATATATTTTATAAAGGTTTGTATTCACTTTTGTATAAAATCGAAACAACTTTTGAAACTATTACATTAATACATATTTAAATTACATAATGTTAGAATCATATTCCCTTTTTATCTCATTTCATGTGTCCAATTTATTATAGATACGAGAATTTAGGTAAAACATAATTAGTAAATGATTAAAAAATATATTAGTAAAAATAATTATTACTCCTTCCGTCCCGCATAAAATTTCTATTTTTTTATTTTCGCCCGTTCTACATAATGTCCATTTCTTTTTTAAAATATAATTATACATTTTAATCTCATTTTAAATTGTATAATTTATAATTATTTTTTTTAATTTTAATTAAACTATTTAGTTATCTTAAACTTAATCTATAATTATTTTTATTATACAGTAATTAATTTTAATAATACATTTTTCAATTAGTTACTAATTATATTTTATCTCAATTAATTAGTATCTACAGTAATATAGACAAAATATGTGGAACTAATGGAGTATATAATATAAATAATTATAAATTAAAATCAAAATAATTAATTAATTTAATTAAAATTAAAAAATATTACTTATAAAATTTAAAATTATATTAAAATATATAATCAATTTTCCAAAAAATAGAATAAATAAGATGGACAAATAAAAATAAAAATAATATACAAATAAAATGAGACCGAGAAAATAGTTTTTTTTTTTTTTTTTTTTTTTTTTTTCAAAACTCAACCTCCACAAAAAAATACAATCAAATAGAATCAAAAGACTTTTCACCCGTGCAATTAAAATTATTTGTTATTATTCACAAAAATTATGCTTCTTTTGAATTGAATTTTGCTTTTAAAAAAATATTTTATAGGCACATATTAAGTTTTGTCTAAAAACATAAACAACTTTTGAAGCTAAATATTTTTTTATAAGCATATTAGAGTAGTTTCTGAAAAAATAAAATAAAATAAAATTTAAATTATTATTTTACCTACAATAATAATAATAGTAATAAATATATTTTTAATAATAGTGAACAATTTAAAATACTTTAAATATAATTAATAAAATTTAATAAAAATACATCACATTCTTTTTTGTAATTTTAACAATTTACTTTTGATTCTACTTCTACCTTTGGCTTATTTTATTTTTCTTTTTCAAGTCACTTTAAACCATTGTTACTATCTTTAAAAATTATTAATCCATTATTTATTTAAAATATGATGTTAAAAATCAATTACAATTTAAATATTACATTCAATATTTGTTTATATTAAATTAAAAAAATATTTTATTTAATTGTTTTTTCTATTATTAACTCAAATTAAAATATTCAAACATACGTGTTCACCTAACACCAGAATCACCTGTTTCATTATATTAATATTAAAAAGACAGTATAATATAATACATACACATCATATATAAATAATACCTACTTGTTTTTCAAAAAGTAAAAGAAAAAAATAAATTAATTTAGAAAATTATTTTTAATATTACCAAAATATTTTATTATACTTAACCTAAAAGATAACTAAAATTAAAAATAATGTGAATTTGCTTGGTTTGAATTATTTAATTTTCTCAATGTGATATTTGAATTAAATAATACTCTCTCCGTCCATAAACTAATGTCCTACTTTTCTATTTGGACGTCCAATAACTATTGTTCTATTTCCTTTTTTAAACACAAATTTTATATTTTTACCCTTCATTCATTTATTACTTTTAATTTCTACCCTACAATTATAGGCAAATTTGTCAATTCATAACAAAAAGACAATCACTCAAAAAAATCGTACAAATATACTTTAGGACAATAGAAATTGAAGGGAGGGAGTAGTATTTTATAAAATAACAATAATATTTATTTATTTATTAAGAAAGATTCGAATTAAATAATAAAAATTTGTATACAAATTATAAAACCTAAACACTCAATATAAACACACCTAGAAATCATAGATAATATAGATAAAATTACAACATTGCCCTTCATTTTGTTTGCGAAACAGCACATTTTCCGACGTGGATTCCCGCTTCTCCAATTAGAGCCGTACAGTTGTAAAAACCCTACAGACAGGTCCCTCCGGTTTGAGTCAAAATCGCGTGAGCACACTAAAATCGCATTATAATTAAAAACACGAGATTGGTTAAATTTTGAAAAAATTCCAGAAGCATCGTACATTACCAAACCTCATCGAATCGCTGCTTCCTGAAATGGAAAAAACTTGAATGCAGCATCCATGGCCTCCTCTCCAAACGCCGTTTCCCTTCCGGCGGGTGTCCTCGTCTCTCTTTCTATCTCTATATATGTATCTGTATCTGTATTTGTATCTATAGCTATCTCTATATATATACATCCTCCCCACCCACCCCTACCCCTACTCGCACTCATTTCCAGACACATCTAATGGGAGACCCTTCCAAGTCCGCCGAAACCCTATTCCCGATGGAGACCGTCTTCCCGCAGATCCCCGACGAAGCTTTCAATCTGTTCCACTCAATCGATCGGGAACTGTACGCCCGCCTCGTCCATAATCTCCGGCGGGATCCGGCGGAGTCCGTCGAGGTTATAGGTTTCTGGATGTGGCTCGAGAGGGAGACCACTAATCTGAAGCTCGTTTTCAGGCTGCTCTCGGTGCCGCCCCCTTTTCTCAATGACCTTGCCGACGAAACGGCGTCGTGTCTGAAGTTCATCGCCGATCAGAATTACGATAACAATAACTATTCTCATTATAATAATAATAATAATCTCGGCGATGGCAACAAGTTTGAGATTCCCTTGTTGCGCGAATTCCTGGGAAATCCGGCGGTGGCTCTTCCCTTATTTCATCAGAATCGGGTTTCGGTGCTTCAGGGGGTAGCCAGTGTCGTCAACACTGTCTGCGCGCGGGCTTTTGCTGACATCATCCCTCCGCCGCGTGGCGGCGGCGCCGGCGGTGGCTACCAGGTGGCGGCGCCGGTGCACGGTCCAGTGGTGTATCATCCTCATCCGAACGCGCCGCCGTTTGTGCCGGGAGGTGGACTGGTCCAGGTTGCGTCGCCTGTGGCGGCAGGAGGAATGGGGTTTTCGATGCACGGGGTTGCACCACCACCGCCGCCGCCGCCGCCGGGGAGCTTTCCTCCTCAGGCAGGGAGGCGCCGCAAAGAAGTGTTGGGCGGCGGTGGTGAGGAATCTAGGAAATTTGCAGCAGGAGAAGTGCCGGTGGATGATCGAACAATTTTCTTGACATTCTCCAAGGGCTACCCTATAAGCCAAGAAGAAGTCAAGGAGTTCTTCTCTAGGTTAATTAATTCAACAACACTTCTATATATTTCAATTTCATTTCTAGGTTAATTCAACAACACTCATATATATGAAGTTCAATTTCATTTCTAGGTTAACTTCAAGAATACTTATATATTATATATATATATATGTCTTATCTACGTTAATTAATTCAAAACTTTTATATATATATATATATAATATATATCAATTTCAATTTCAATTATTGGTTAATTCAAGAACACTTATATATATATATGAATTTTATTTTCATTTCTAGGTTAAATTCAAGAATACTTATATATGTCATCTCTAGGTTAATTAATTCAAAAAGCTTATATGTATATATATATATTTATATCGATTTCATTTTCATTTCTAGGTTAATTCAAGAACACTATATGGATTTCATTTTCATTTTTAGGTTAAATTCAAGAATACTTATATATATCTTCTCTAGGTTAATTAATTAAAAAACTTACATATATATATATATATCAATTTCATTTTCATTTCTAAGTTAATTAATTCAGAAAACTTATATATTCATATTTATATATATCAATTTCATTTTCATTTCTAGGTTAATTCAAGAATACATCCATATTTTAATTTTATTTAAACAAATATTACATAATTCGTTCTTGTAAGAACCCTAATTAAATGTTAATGAATGAATTGCAGAAAATTTGGGGATTTCATCGAGGACTTGATAATGCAAGACGTGGGAGGAGAGGAGCAAGTGCTGTACGCGAGAATGGTGGCGCGGGTTGACGCCATGGGAGTGGTGCAAGAAATAGTCGGGGGAAACAATAAGGCTAAGTATTCCATAAACGGTAAGCATGTCTGGGCAAGAAAGTATGTGAAGAAGCAACATCTGCAGCAGCTCAGGGAAAGCAGCACTGGAGCAGGAACAGGAACAGGAGATTCTTCTTCTGCTTAATTCTTCATCAGAATTGCACCAAATTATTACATCTAATAAAGGGACAAGCACTGTGTGTCTGCTGCTGGTGCTCCACAGACAGGTAAACCTAAAGACAATGAACTCATAGGATGGATAAATGGATTTATATAGATATATATAATTTATATGCATGGTTGAGTATATTATACATAATGGCCGTACAACAAACATACATACTTTTTTATTGATAATATATATATATATTTATATGGAAGTAGAGCATGAAGTACTACTTTACTTGATATCATTTGAATATGTTGGTGGGTGTAATTAGGGTTTCTATTTTCCTGTTTTTTGCTCTTATCATGGTTTTTTTTTTTTTTTTTTTAAATGGAAAATAGTACACGACCAAGATTTAACTAAATATTGATAACTTTAATAAGAAATAATTTTGTTAAATTGATAATAAAATAGAAGTATAACTAATCCAATATTCGGAAAAATTTCAGGATTGTGTTTCATTTGAAAATTTTTTGGGTATTGACACTGCTTCATCTAGTCTATTTTTTATAGATTTTTTATTTTTATATGTTCTCTCTTATCTGTATTTGAAATGACTACCAGGTTAAATATTTTAATGTTAGGCAATCAAATCTAATTTGTTTAAGTACTTTTCTGGTTTGTAATGTAATTAGCTTAATATTAAAAATCATCTTGATAGTTATAATCAATTATTTATTTTATATAACTAATTTATCGAAAATTTTGATAAGAATTAATTTTGTTAAATTGATAATAAAATACAAGTTACCTAATCCGATATTTGGAAAAATTTGAGGATTGTGTTTTATTTGAGAAATTTTCAATTTGTGACATTGCTTGTCTATTTACCACAGATTTCTTGTTTCTATTTTTTCTCTCTTATCTTATCTGTATCTGTATCTGGAATGACAATCATGTTAAGTTCTTTTAAAGTTAGACAATCAAATCTAATTTGTTTAAGTGTTTTTGTGGTTTGTAATACAATGAGCTTAATATAAACACTCAATTATATATTTTTTTATAACTAATTTATTGATAATTTTGATAATAATTAATTTTGTTAAATTGATAATAAAATACGAATTAGCTAATCCAATATTTGGAAAAACTTTATGATGGTATTTTATTTGAGAATTTTTCGGGTTTTGACATTGTTTGACGTAGTCTATTTTTGACGGATTGTTTGTTCTGTTTGTCCTCTCTTATTTGTATTTGAAATGACAACCAGGTTAAATATTTTAAAGTTAGGCAATCAAATCTAATTTGTTAAGTACTTTTCTAGTTTGTAACGTAATTAACTTAATATTAAAAATCATCTTGATAGTTATAATCAATTATTTATTTTATATAACTAATTTATTGATAGTTTTGATAAGAATTAATTTTGTTAAATTGATAATAAAATACAAGTTAGCTAATCCGATATTTGGAAAAACTTGAGGATTGTGTTTTATTTGTGAATTTTTTAATTTATGACACTACTTAACCTAGTCTATTTACCACAGATTTTTTGTTTCTATTTTATCCTCTCTTATCTATATTTGGAATGACAATCAGGTTAAGTTCTTTTAAAGTTAGGCAATCAAACCTAATTCGTTTAAGTTTTTTGTGGTTTGTAATACAATGAGCTTAATATAAATATTCAACTTGATAGTTATAATCAATTATATATTTATTATAACTAATTTATTGATAATTTTGATAATAATTAATTTTGTTAAATTGATAATAAAATATAAGTTAGCTAATCCAATATTTGGAAAAACTTTATGATTGTGTTTATTTGAGAATTTTCCAGGTTTTGACAATGTTTGATCTAGTCTATTTTTGATAGATTTTTTGTTCTATTTGTCCTCATTTGTCTGTATTTGAAATGACAATCAGATTAAATCATTTTAAAGTTAGACAATCAAATCTACATTTTTAAGTGTATTTCTGGTTTGTAATACAATTAGCTTAATATTAAAAATTATCTTGATAATATAATCAATTATTTATTTTTATAACTAATTTATTGATAATTTTGATAAAAAAATAATTTTGTTAAGTTGATAATAAAATACAAGTATAGCTAGTTCAATATTTGGAAGAACTTCTTAATAGTGTTTTATTTGAGAATCTTGTAGGTTTTGACATTGCTTGACATAGTTTATTTTTGACATTTTTTTTTGTCATCACTTATCTATATTTAAAATGACAATCAGGTTGAATTCCGGTAAAGTTTAGGCAATCAAATCTAATTCATTTAAATTGTGTATTTTCTGGATTGTAATATATTAGCTTAATATTAAAAATCATCTTAATAGGTATAATCGATATTTATTTATTTTCTATAATTAATATATCGATAAATTTGATTATTTTTGTTAAATTGATAATAACATACAACTATAGCTAATTTAAACATTTGGAAAACTTTCAGATGGTGTTTTATTTAATAATTTTTTAGATTTTGATACTATTTGTCATAGTCTATTTTTGACCGAGGTTTCTTATTTATTTATTTACTTTTTTTTGTTCTCATATGCATTTGAAGTGCAATAGGGTAAAATGCTTAGAAGGTTTAGGCCATCAAATCTAATTTATTTAAATTGTATTTTTTTGGATTGTAATATAATTAGCTTAATATTAAAAGTCATGTTGATAGTTATAATCAGTTAGTTATATTTTATAACTAATTTATTGATAATTTTAATAAGAATTAATTTTGTTAAATTGACAATAAAATACAAATATAGCTAATCCAAAACTTGGGAGAAATTCTTAATTGTATTTTATTTGAGAATTTTGTCAGGTTTGAACACTGTTTGTATACCATTTTGGATTTTAATATAGTTAGCATCTTAATATTAAAAGTCATCTAGATAATTATAATTTATTAATTAATTATTTTTTTATGGGTGTGTTGTTTTGGGGTTTGAATTTTGAGAATAGTAAAAAAATTTTTAAATTGAAATAGTTGTATGGTGTGATATAAATAGTTATTGGGTGATGTTTTGAATGTAAAATTGATTTTTATTATAATATAAAAAATTGAAAAATAAGTGATTTGATTTGATATTTTTGAGAATGAGGAAGAATGGGTGAATAATTAAAATCTTTACAAATCCTCCTAACAAACACACCCTATAATTAATTTACTGAAAATTCTGATACATTGATAATAAAATAATAGTATAGCTAATCCAACGTTTTAGGAGAACTTTCGCATTGCGTTTTATTTGAAAAATTGTCAGATTTGAAACTGTTTGATTTAGTCTATGTCTAAAAAAGTTTTTTTTTTTTTTTTTTGTTTTCCCTCTTATTTGTACTATATATATATATATATATATATTTGAACCTTACAATCCACATCATAGAAGTTCTGTTAATTTATGGGTTTGATATGAATATGTTGGTGCATGCAATTAGGATTTATTGATTTTGTTAAAATACAAGTATAGCTAATACAACACCCGAAAGAACTTTTGAATTGTATTTTATTTGAGAATTTTTCAGATTTTGACACTGATTGATCTAGTCTGATTTTAACAAAGTGTTTTTTTTTTTTTTTTTTCATTTTTTTGTCATCTCTTATATGCATTTAGTGACAATCAAGATTAATTTAAATTTAATATATTTAAGTTCTTTTTTTTTGGTATTGTAATATAGTTAGCTTAATATTTATAATTAATTTATTGAAAATTTTGATACGTTGATAATAAAATACAAGTATAGCACATCCAACACTTGAAAGAACATCCAAATTGCATTTTCTTAGAAAAAATTTCAGATTCTCACACTGTTTGACATAGTCTATGTCTGATAAAGTTTTATTTTTTTATTATTTTTTATCCTCTCTTATTTGCAATATATATCGATATAATGTATATAAATTTAAACATTCAATAATAATCAACATCATAGAAGTTCTAGTAATTTATGGGTTTAATATGAATGTTTTGATAGGTGGATATAGGATTTCTATTTTTAATTGTCTTATCATATTTTTCTGGATTTAAATTGAAATTCTTGATTTCAATTAAAAACTTTGTATTTATTATATTAATTCCATATGAAAAATGAATATATAAAAAATTGAAAGAAAAAATAAAAATAAAAGTCAAAAGTGTAGGGGCAAAAATAAAGAATTTTTTTTCTTTTTTTATAAAAAAAACAGAGTATAATATATTTCACGGTTCAAAAGTGTTCAAAAGTAAATAGATAGGAAAAAATTCTCCTTAATCGTGAAGCATGGTAGTATTTTTCCTTTGATTTCTTTTTCTTTCGATAATTGAGTTATTTATTTTTCTTATTTGACGATTATAACATGTTATTTCATAAAAATTCTTATCAATTATCATATTTGTTTAGTTCTTGAATTAGTACTATTATTTTGGATTGTTTGTTTAAGAGATACATAAACAATCACTTTAAATAGGATATCTGTAGTATTTACAGTTGAAGTTACAATGAAATTGCATTCTTCTGGAGTTCAGATAATTAAAGATAATTTGTTTCTCTTAGTAATTATTTGAATTGTGTTTTTTTGGATTGTAATACAATTAGACAATAATTCCTAACACCTGTTCTATATTAGCTTAAATATGTTATAAGTCTTATTAAGATTACCTATAGTGTAAGACAATAAGTTATTATCAGAATTTATTGATATTTATAACCTATTTATTTATTTTATGACTAATTTATTGATAATCTTGATAAGAATTAATTTTGTTAAATTGATAATAAAATAAAGTATTGCTAATCCAACACTTGGTAGAACTCTTGAGTCAGCATGTGAATTTTGCAATTGGTTAGAGGTTTTTAATAGTAAATTATTGAAATAGAATAATTATTTGATGAAATATAAATAAGTGTCAATATAATCAGTAATTTAAATAAAAAAAAATTAATTTTTAATATATAATAAAACTTACTAGCAGCATCCAAGTGAGTAGATATTTTGTGACATACTCCTCAAGTTTCAGTTTCAGATGTATGTTTGTTTGGGGATT